AACCTAGCTCGCGGGTTCCCGATGAACCCAGGAGCTTGGGTTCGCGAGGAACCGAACTCACGGGTTCGCAAGGAACCCAAGAACCTGGGTTCGCGAGGAATGAGTCTTACCCTGAGAAATGGAGAAGATTTGCGTTGTTGTGAGAGTGAGATCGTGGTTTCCCAAGATACCTCCGCCAGAACCTACTGGAAGGTCGAGGACAACTGCATCTCCCTCCACAGGCCTCATGGCACTCCCATCTCCGGCGTCTCTTACGCTTTTGGTAAAAACCTGGATCTTCATTTCTATTTCATCTTCGATTTACCATGTTATCAGTGTGGATTTTGTTCAATTAAGCTTTTCTTTTTCGTTTTCGCATTTGCAGATCATGTGTTCAATGAAACCTACTCAAATGCTCAAGTTTACAAGCTTCTTACTAGGGATTTAATTCATGTCGCAGTTGAAGGGTTCAATGGTATTCTTCTTTTCCCCAAATCGTCCAAATTTGTTCAATCACTAAGATTTTGCTTTGAGCCTTTAGGTTCTCTTTGTATTTTGTTTGGATCTGGGAAAGCATCACAAGCTGTTTTTGAGATATCTGAGAAATTAAAATGTTTGATTTGAATTTCGTAACCTTAAAACATTTTCCTTTTGGTTGGATTTTTTCGACTTTGTTGGAAGACTTGCTAGTTTGGGTGCGAGAATTGATTGATTTAATCTCTTGAAAAAGAAGCATTTCATTTGTGTAGTGATTTTCGTGCTTGTTTGTGGATTGATTTGGAGCAGGTGACACTGACATGGAAATGTTGCTGGGTTCACGATGAACCCAGGCACTTGGGTTCATCGCGAACTAGCGAGCTAGGTTCATCGCCAACCCAGGCTTCTGGGTTCATCGCGAACCCGCGAGCTGGGTTCCTCGCGAACCCAGGCTCTTGGGTTCGCTTGGGGTAAAAGGGAAAAAAGAAAAAAGAAAGAGGTCGGAGGAAGTGGAGAGTGACGTGGGGGGTGATGTGGAGGGTGTCATTAAGTTCACGTAAGCATCTTTTACACGTTGGCATACCCACATCAGTTGTTCCAGTTAAGTTAATGTGCCACATGAGCAAAATTTAACGGAATGACTAAAAAGGGGTTGGATTTGTGAACAGTAAAGACCAAAAATGAGATTTTTTTGGTACAGGGACTAAAAATGGGTTTTTTCCTATAGCAGAGGGACCAAAAAAGGTATTTAACCAAATAAAATTAGAGATGAGAAATGATTTTTCTCAGTTAGTAGGCTGCTCGAGCTCCTATTAAATTATCCATATTTAATCTTGCTTGTAGGGATTAAAAAGTTTAAGGACCAAATCAAGAATTTTTAAAGTTTAGGAACCAAATCAGAAGTCTAAACCATACTTAAGAGACCAAATTTATGGGTTTAACCTTTCCAAAAGCTAGAGTATTCTAAATTAGGCCCGTGTTGGAATCCATTAAGATTTAAGAAAAAAATCAATTCAAGAATTGAACCAGCCCACCAATCAAACCTGGTCTATGGGTTTTCAATACAATTCCAACTTGGGCCAAAATTTCATTCTTTTTGTTGTAATTTGGGCCCAAGTCCATTCTTTCTCTTCATGACTTGGGCCCAATTTACAACAACAAAAAGAATGGACTTTGATTCCTCCAGAATCCAGATTTATTCTCAATTTTTCCATTTTATCAATTTAAGGCTATAGATATTCGGTTTCTTAAAATGCTAACTAAAAAATTTACTTAATTGAAATTTTGGGTTATCTTCATCAAGTTTTTTTTTTATTCTTTTTTCAATCATAAGCAATGAAATTCCCCTAATTTTTTTATTTTTTGCCTTCCCTAATTTCAATTCAAAAGAGCACAAATTTTTGGTTTATCATTCATTAAACAGCCAATCCCAATACATTAAACATATTTTTCAGCATTCATGAAACAGAACAGAGCAACAATGGAGAATGGAAATTAAAGACAGCAAATCAGTAAGCTAAATACACAGTAAACTGAAGCAGAGTCTCAACTCCATCAGTTTCATGTTGGTTGATCCCCGGAAAAGTCTTGATCGTCGCATACCCCTTAGCATTCACATACTTTCCAGTACCGCCCATGATTGCCAATTGGGACTCTGACACTGCCGTCCGGTGCACCCCAAAGAAGCTCAGGCTATCCACATAGCCGCCGCTCTCAAACATCGTCGTGAATGCCATGGTCTGGCTGGTGCCGTCTACAGAGCTGACCACATAGAAACCCTGAGCCTTTCCCACCAAACCGGACCCAAGTTCCTGACCTTCGGTTAGCTCGTCGTCAATGACTGTCAATGTCCCGAACATGAATTGCTCGATGGTGCTTCCGGTAGGGAGCTGGCCACCGCTCAGGACTGGAACACCCAACGCACCGTTGTTGGGGTTGTTTCCGTTGTTCTGGATCACATTGGCTGAATTTCCACCGAGACCGGTGAGGAAAGGAACATTGTTGTTGTTGATGACGCCGTTGTTGTTGCTGTTAATGGAGATGCCATTATTGACAGGGAGGTTTGCGCCGTTAGGCTTGGCGAAAGGAACCTGACCATTGGTTGCAGGATTCGTGACGATCCCGGTAACGGCTTTGGCTGTGGGGTTTGATCCACCGAGGATGTCATGCATGTAGAAAATCAGGGGATGGTGGAGGTCCCCTGTGCGAATCCCTCCACTAGCGGCTGCGCCAGCTGCCGGGATGGCACCGGCGACAGGAGATGCAACTGAGTCAGGCTTCTCTGGTGCGGTGGTGGGGATTGGTGGTTCTTCCTCATCAAGGGCTGGAGCTGCAGCTGCAAAGGAGATTGTGATAGCTAAGAGCACAAGGGAGAGCAGGGGCTTGTACATTGCCATGAGCTCCAGAAGATTAAGGAAAGTTCTATGATTATGAATTTGGGATTTTTTTGTAAAATGCTGATGGGAGATGAGAACTTAGTTCTTGTATATATATACACTCTAATTGAAGGTCCAGTATTGGAGTTATTAAGATGGAGTTGATGAGATGGATTAGGTGATATCAATTCATTCCTATGGTGTTTTGGTTGGATCTCTAATACTCTTTTTTTATTTCCCACTCAAGTTCGTATTTAAACAATGTTGTGTGTTTGCAGATCTCCAATGTGAACTAGTGGTGGCCACGCTGTCCATTGGGTAGTAGGTGAACTGTACCTACTTTTGAGATTCGACCTTTCCACAGTACAACAGATACTAACACTTGGCTAACTATTTTCTATTGTCAGAAAAAAAAAAAATTGTTGTGTGTTCTGGGAATCAGAAGTCGCAATTTTGTCTCAGATTTTGTACCAAACCTTATGAACACCAAGACAAATTGCCAATGCAACAAATTATAAAAATTCAAAAGATGTGTAAACTGCTAAAACCCTTGTTATTTTGCAATATATAGGATGGCAATGGATACCCACGGGATGGAGGAGACCCCTTCCTCATCCCTATCCCTGCCCCGCTATTAGCAGATATGGGATCCCATTGGGATTTTTGGTGGCAAGCCAAAAAAAACTTCCGGGATATAAAGAGTCCCTGCCAAATATCAAATATATAAAATTTAATCTTTTTTTCTTACAAATTAAAAATTTTAAAATTTAAAATAACTCAAACAAATAAATGCATTACATATATAGTCCAACAAAGCAATGTCCAGTTGCAGCTAGGAAATACATATTATCATACATGTCTAACACTCTCCAGTAGCATGTTCATAGAAAAAAAAAAAAA